AAAAAAAAAAAAAAAAACGAGGGAAAAAAAAAAAAAAAATTTGTAAAAAAAAAAAAAAATGTTCCAAAAAAAAAAAAAAACCAGTGAAAAAAAAAAAAAAAGGGAGTAAAAAAAAAAAAAAACAGGAAAAAAAAAAAAAAAAATTGGTCAAAAAAAAAAAAAAACAGGGCAAAAAAAAAAAAAAAAAGACGAAAAAAAAAAAAAAAGCCGAGAAAAAAAAAAAAAAAGCGGAAAAAAAAAAAAAAAAAACTGCAAAAAAAAAAAAAAAACAGCGGAAAAAAAAAAAAAAATCACAGAAAAAAAAAAAAAAAGGCCGGAAAAAAAAAAAAAAAAGGGCAAAAAAAAAAAAAAAAGAGAAGAAAAAAAAAAAAAAAGTAAGTAAAAAAAAAAAAAAAGAGCGGAAAAAAAAAAAAAAATGGGAAAAAAAAAAAAAAAAATCTGAGAAAAAAAAAAAAAAATTCCCAAAAAAAAAAAAAAAATTCACAAAAAAAAAAAAAAAAGAGGGAAAAAAAAAAAAAAAAGTCGCTAAAAAAAAAAAAAAATTAGAGAAAAAAAAAAAAAAATCCCTTAAAAAAAAAAAAAAATGGAGAAAAAAAAAAAAAAAATGAACGAAAAAAAAAAAAAAACCATCCAAAAAAAAAAAAAAATGAGCAAAAAAAAAAAAAAAATGCATGAAAAAAAAAAAAAAATGCCTGAAAAAAAAAAAAAAAGTCACCAAAAAAAAAAAAAAACCCGACAAAAAAAAAAAAAAACGTCTCAAAAAAAAAAAAAAACTCCTGAAAAAAAAAAAAAAAGTGAAAAAAAAAAAAAAAAAACGGGTGAAAAAAAAAAAAAAAGAGGCAAAAAAAAAAAAAAAACAGCTGAAAAAAAAAAAAAAAGCCAGGAAAAAAAAAAAAAAAGAACTGAAAAAAAAAAAAAAACAGGTGAAAAAAAAAAAAAAAGACCTTAAAAAAAAAAAAAAACTCCTCAAAAAAAAAAAAAAATTCCCCAAAAAAAAAAAAAAAACGCTGAAAAAAAAAAAAAAAGCCAGAAAAAAAAAAAAAAAACTCATCAAAAAAAAAAAAAAACCCCCCAAAAAAAAAAAAAAACCCTGGAAAAAAAAAAAAAAAATTCTCAAAAAAAAAAAAAAACCCAGCAAAAAAAAAAAAAAATCCCACAAAAAAAAAAAAAAAGGCCTCAAAAAAAAAAAAAAATCCCCTAAAAAAAAAAAAAAAACACAGAAAAAAAAAAAAAAATCTTCAAAAAAAAAAAAAAAAGTCCCTAAAAAAAAAAAAAAACTCCCAAAAAAAAAAAAAAAACCTAGAAAAAAAAAAAAAAAATTAGTTAAAAAAAAAAAAAAATGCAATAAAAAAAAAAAAAAATGTCTTAAAAAAAAAAAAAAACTGTCAAAAAAAAAAAAAAAAATTTGAAAAAAAAAAAAAAAATTTCCAAAAAAAAAAAAAAAATCCCCTAAAAAAAAAAAAAAAACCCCTAAAAAAAAAAAAAAATGTCCCAAAAAAAAAAAAAAAGGGCTGAAAAAAAAAAAAAAAATGAGTAAAAAAAAAAAAAAAAGAGCCAAAAAAAAAAAAAAACCCATTAAAAAAAAAAAAAAATCTGTAAAAAAAAAAAAAAAAGAGCCTAAAAAAAAAAAAAAATGGAGAAAAAAAAAAAAAAAAAATGAGAAAAAAAAAAAAAAAGCAGATAAAAAAAAAAAAAAAAACTCCAAAAAAAAAAAAAAAACCCATAAAAAAAAAAAAAAATTCAGGAAAAAAAAAAAAAAAGTTCTAAAAAAAAAAAAAAAACTTCCTAAAAAAAAAAAAAAATCCCATAAAAAAAAAAAAAAACCTATCAAAAAAAAAAAAAAACTGTGTAAAAAAAAAAAAAAAAGGGGCAAAAAAAAAAAAAAACCAGGTAAAAAAAAAAAAAAAGTCTTGAAAAAAAAAAAAAAAATTCCCAAAAAAAAAAAAAAATCATAGAAAAAAAAAAAAAAAACCACTAAAAAAAAAAAAAAACCAGCAAAAAAAAAAAAAAAACTCTTCAAAAAAAAAAAAAAACATCCTAAAAAAAAAAAAAAACCAGCTAAAAAAAAAAAAAAACACGGCAAAAAAAAAAAAAAACCCTCTAAAAAAAAAAAAAAACTCTCCAAAAAAAAAAAAAAACAGGAGAAAAAAAAAAAAAAACTGGAGAAAAAAAAAAAAAAACGGCGCAAAAAAAAAAAAAAAGCTGAGAAAAAAAAAAAAAAACTGGCAAAAAAAAAAAAAAAAGTGGATAAAAAAAAAAAAAAACGCCGCAAAAAAAAAAAAAAACTGGACAAAAAAAAAAAAAAACTGGAGAAAAAAAAAAAAAAAGTGAGCAAAAAAAAAAAAAAACAGCGCAAAAAAAAAAAAAAAGGGCACAAAAAAAAAAAAAAATGGGGAAAAAAAAAAAAAAAATAGGCTAAAAAAAAAAAAAAAGAGGAAAAAAAAAAAAAAAAAGGCTCAAAAAAAAAAAAAAAATGGACCAAAAAAAAAAAAAAATCTTT